TTTTTTTCAGATTTTATTATTTACGGCTTATTTTTTTCTAAATTGTTCAGGTAGTTAATCGGAATTTAGCTAAAATATTGTTCCGAAAACAAACCTGTTTAGCCCTCACTCGTGCATTCTCAATGCCTTTTATAGGAATTGTTGACCCTCCACCTAGCCCCAACTTAACTCTGACCAAGGACTTGTCCATCGGACGCCAATCTTATCCACAAAACTATCCTAGTGTGCTAATTTTGAATGAAAACCTTGATCGATTTGGAGGCGATTTGGAGAATCACACTTTTTCACCAGCCGACTCTTATCGTCTTAATGTGACCAAAGGGCCTGATGCTGATCTCAATTCTTTTGTTGAAATGTCCGACTTCTCCCTTGCTTTGGTCAACCGCCTCGCATACCTCAGGTTAGTCATTCTTAATTCATTCATCAGTCGCATCTTTATCACCTTAGACCAGTGATTCCCAAACTGCGCCTCGGAGCCCGGAGGGCCGTGGCCTCTACATGGGCCCCGCGAAATATTGTAGTCTCAATTTGACAAATCTGCAGTGATTTTCAGGCTCATCCATCATATTAATTATTAAATGTTAATTTAATGTTAAAGTAAAAAAATAATGAAGATACACGAGTTTTATTTATTTTTATCCTCTTACGAATAGTCATACTTAGGGTAGGACGCCATGAAAGAATTTTAATTTAAAAGGGCGTCGCGACTAGGAAAAGTTTGGCAACCACTGCCTTAGACTAAAAATCTTAATTCCTCTAAATCTAATCATATTTCATATTTCAAATTTAATTATTTTAGGGTTTGTCTGGCTTGTAACTATCAGATTTGGTGTATATTTAGCCATCCTGTTCGTAACTTTCCCAGGCCATACTACTGAAATATTTTCATTTTTCGTACTAGTTTTATTAAATGCTTTGTTTATCTCACAGGTCCATATTCTCTAGGGTCGAACTCGAGGCTGGCATGATAACGGATGTCGTTTCACAGCTTTCTCAATATACTAAACGCGTAGTCGACATATATGTGCCGCAGATCACATCAATTAATCCGATATCAGAAGGGGTTGCCCTCGATTGTGAGAAGCATCCAAATGGCTTATCAGCTCCTCAAATGAATAGTCTTTATACTCAAACTCAATCAAATCTCCGATCACTATCAACACCTGTGGAAACTGCAAACTGTACATGCTTCGTTTCTATTCTACCTTCCCTTGAACAGCTGGTTGATTCTTTTAACACAATAAAAAAACGCTGCACTCATTATCCTAAAAATTCATTAGATACTAACAGTATACGTCCATCCGATTCTTACCCAAGGTTCAGTAAAGCAAAAAAAGCTGATCTTCCAACTTGCCTAACTCGACCTACTGGCTCTGCAAATAGTCTTTTATCACCCAGCACCACATTTACCCCTGGGGATTCTAGCATATGCATATCTGCCAATTCTTTTGCGAATTTTTCACATTGCGAATTTCAACGTTATCAGCAGCATCCAAGTTTCCCAAGCAACGGTAATCTTTCTCATCTTGATTTTTGTAATTCCTTGCATGACATTCCCCATTCGGAATTATCTAATCCTTATACTTTGAGATCAACTAACTATCATTCTGAGGCTAACAGTGCTTTTTCCAGAAGATCAAAGAATTTTGCCACCATTGTCGACTCTTTCCGGGACCTTGATACTGAATTAGATGAGTTATCTTCTGAGGCACGAGGGTTCGTCATCCTAATTTTATCCTCATTTCTCTTTATGCCTATATGACCTATAATTGCCATTCATTTTTTCTCTAATATTTGAATTCCCCAAGTCAAATCACTTGATAAACTAGCCATTTCAGCGAAAGTTTTTGTTGGGACATCTTTTAACATTGTGAAGGAATATTCTTTCAATGAACTGTATTCAGCTCTGGTAGCGTAAGGCGATAAAATGGTAGTTGATTTGTCCCACTTTAATTGAATTTCTCAGCCTCGTTTTTAAATAACTATTATCATCCAGGCTATATGAAAGATATACTGGTAATTTCGAAAACCTACTCAATATGAATATTTTCTCAGTTTATGTCTGAGGGGACAACTATTTCTGACTGGTTTAGTCATAGCCTGCTTTTCGTCTAAACGCCTTATCTGGCATTGTTTTCTTGGCTTATTATTCTATGATAGCTGCTTGGTTTAAGAAGGT